GGATATATCAATTTGGTTGATTTTAGCTTCCGAAGCTCAAATTTTATAGCAAGGAGATTGATAACGAAATTGAGCGCCAGTACAAATTTTAGACCTGAATTCTATATTATAGATTCATATAGCTAAAAGGGCTTCTGGCCTATGATTGGGATCTTTCTGGATAACTTTTTCGAATTTGACTCTGGAACCCCCAATTTTGCTCTATTATATTGTATGACATGCTTTACCATATTTGGATTAGGATTTTTAAAAAGGGAATCATCATCTTTGTTATTTTCATTTAAAACAGATTGATCATCATATTTTTCGCTAAATACAGTTTCAGATTCCATCACATCAACATTTTCTTCTATATTAATAAAAACAATCAAAATTACCTCTTATTTCGTGTTACATATATTGTATTCATAAAAAACTAAACTAAGTTTACCCAATTCCTCAACATTCGACACTTTCATTTTACGGCGTTTAGGATTTGTTCTTTGTACAGTTTGACTATCAGAGCTTTGACTTTTAGAACTTCGATTTGAAGTAGTGTTATTGTATTTAGCAAGAGGCTTGATATTATTAAGAATTTTAAGTTTTGAACGGGTACTTCTTCTCATTATTATTGGGATGAGATACCTTAAAAAGGATAGAAAGTGTATCAATGATAGATTACTAATCAATTTAAAAATATTATTTATATAGGATTAATTAATCAATCATATGACGTGTCATATAGTATAAATATCATTGATCCTTTTTTATCATTAATCTTTTTATCTTTAAATAATAGATTTTTATCATGCCAAAATGAGCTAATTTTGAAAAAATATATCTGACTCTTCATAAGCCACTTGGTTTACAACGAAAGTTGAAATCCTTTGTAACATTACGAGAAAGAACTAATTTACTTATTACTTCAACTTCGAGTACGATGCATACGAAAACTGATACAACTTATAACGATGATCTTATGAACAATGAAAAACGTATTCCAAAATATTTTACTAATGTTAGAAATACATCACTTAATATGCACGATAATCATGATCATTGTAATCGTTCTAACAATAAAAAAAAAATTGTATAATAATATATTGGAGGATATTAACGATAGTTTAATATTAGAGAACTCTTTCCCAAATAATTTCGATTTGACTAGCGATAACTCGAACAACAATGATGATTACATGAATATCAACTTTTCAAATGATGGTAATGATAATGATATAAATATTGACCTGGCCGATAGTTATCTGAATGATAATTATAATAATACAAATGTTGACATAGTTAACGATAATTCAAACGATGAAGGTTCTAGTATTGACCTGGCCAATGATAGCTTGGATGATGATAGCTCGGATGATGATAGATCGAACAATGATGACAATAACGATTTCACATATAACGCTGATGGTAATTGTCATTTTTATGATGATAATACTGAATT